GAGGAGAAAGGATGAACAGCGGGTTCTTTTCAAAGCCATTGGATGGTGTTAACCTGAGCTGTTTAAAAAGAGATATTGAAGGGAAGCAGTCTCAACCAGGTTGTCCTGTTCCCCCTCCATTCTGCTTCCTTCCCACCCTCTCCACCAAAACCCCACAGACTCTAGTGGGCTGGCCGCAGGACATGCGTGGCTTGCCGCTAAGGGTTTCTTTTACTTCAAAGTTTTTCTTCAGGGAGCCAGCCATGAACTGACTGACTGGTATCAATTTCCTGTACGGCTCAACATAAATGAATTTGGTGGTGTTTGATCAGTTTTTATACACTTCCTCTAGGTCTATAGGAACCCAGACTTTTTTAATGCAGATGTAAATACGGAGCAATTGTCACACCTCTGGCCCTTGTTATTGGGAAGGGGAACTGTTATCTTGCCAAGCCTGGTTGTAATTTATAACCATTTTCTATTTGTGCAAACTCTGTAAATAATGTTTAAAAATGTATTATTTTGTACAAGATACACTGGAGAACAAAGGGAACTCAAGGTTTTTCCACATACTTCACCTGTAAGTAGAAGTTAATCCTGTAGAGGGCAGCTGCCAATCCTGGCTCCTCTTCCAGGAGTTTCGGGGACTCCTGCATATTGGACAGGTGGCTGTATGGGATAGATTGTCATTTGGGAATTTTTTTGCTGTACACACTTGTTTAAAAAAAAAAAAAAAGTAACTCAGTGAATACCTTGCAGTGGTGTGTTTGATTCTTTTTTAGACTGGCTTCAGCATTGTGCAATTTAAGAATAAATGACATAAATAACTTGAGCATATATAAATTTCTAATTGTATAAACTATAGCTCTGAGTCCTTTCTTTTCCTAGTGGTGGAAAATATTGGGGGCAGGGGTGGGAAGTGAAGAGGGCGGTTGTAAGCGTGGAGGGTCCCAGTGTGCCCCCTAGGTCTGCAACTAAAGGAGAACCCCCAGTTCTTTGAAGACAGTTTAGCCAGAATTGTCTGGCCTTTTCCTATCTCCTTGCCCCACCAGGTGGCAGCCAAGCTTTGACTTCTACCCTTGAATTCTTGGAGGAGCCTGATATCTGTGTAAAGCACTGGTTTCTGAAACCAGTTAGTTGTGCTTTAGTGGATCGATGATGTCATGTAGTCTGCTGTAGTGAGAAGGCTATAAAAATTCATGAAGGGCCTGGGGTTGTGGCTCAGTGGCAGAGTACTCGCCTAGTTGTGTGAGGCACTGGTTTCAAATCTCAGCACCAGGTATAAATAAAGATCCATTGACAACTAAAAATAATTTTTAAAAAAATAGTAAAATGAAACACTAAACAAGCCTCTTGCTTTCTTTGAAGACAGGAGAGTAGGTACCTAACCTTGATTTATTCCCACTGCCTTGGGTAAACTACCCACCCTGTGTCCCCCTTAGTTTTGGCCCATGTTCCCTGTGCTGTGTGCCCACACTGCCGGGTAGTGGGCCTCGGCA